CGCGGCGCCGCGGGCGCGGCGACGACGCGCGGCTGCGCCGCCGCCGCCGCCGCGGGCGGCCGCGGCGCGGCGGCGGCCGGCGCGGCCGGCGCGGGCGCGGCCGGCGGCGCCGCGGCCGGCGCGCCGGCGGCGCAGGGCTCGGCGATGAGCTCGCCGGACGCGTCCTTGCGCCGCATGTAGCCCTCGCGGCCGCGCGCGCGGCAGGTGTCGCACTTGGACGCCGCGAGCTTGCCCGCGAACGCCGCGAGGTTGCGGAAGCGCTTGCAGCCCTTGCACCACTTGAAGTAGCGGCGGCGGCGACGACCGCGGGCGCGGCGGCGGGCGTCGCGGGCGCCGCCGCGGGCGCGGCGGGCGCGGCGGCGACGGCCGCGGCCGCGGGCGCCGCGGGCGCCGCGGGCGCCGCGGGCGCCGCGGCGACGGCCATGGGCACCGGGGCGGGCGTCGCGGGCGCCGCGGGCGCGGCCGCCGGCGCGACCGTCGCGGGCGTCGCCGGCGCCGCCGCGGGCGCGGGCGTCGCGGGCGGCGCGGGCGTCGCCGGCGCGGCGGGCGCCGCGGGCGGCGCGGGCGGCGCGGGCGCGGCGGGCGCGGCGGGCGGGCGGGCGGCGGGCGCGGCCGCGGGGTCGCCCGGGACGCGGCCGCACATGACGCAGTGGCGCGCGCCCCGCGCCTTGGCGCGCGGGTAGTTGATGAGCGCGTCGTAGACCGGCGCGGCGCCCGGGGGCAGCTCCGTGAGCGGCGGCAACGTCGTCGCGGGCACCGTCGACGACACGGCCCCCGCCACCGTCGCCGGCAGGACGCGGCTCTTGTCGTCGGGGTCGACGCCGCCGCCGCCGACGGCGGGCTGCGCGAGCACCGTCGTCGCGGGCGTCGCGGTGCCCTGGCCGTCGTTCGCCCGCGGCGGCGCGACGGCGACGGGCTGCTTCTTCCGGCCCGACGCCTTGGCGTCGCGCCGGGCACCGCGGGGCGCTTCGTCGCGCATGCGCGCCATGGCCGCGGCCTTGGAGCCCTTGGGCTTGCCGCCGCCGCCGGAGGAAGCCCGCCGGCGGGACGCGGAGCCGCGGCCGCGGCTCGCCGCGGGCGGCTTCCGCGTGTTCGCGCCGCCGCGCTGGGGCAGCAATTCCACGCAGTCGACGACGCCGTCGAGGTCCATCTCGAAGGCCACGTCCTGGTCGAAGGACCAGGTGCTGTCGACCGTCGAGCCGCGGCGGCGCCGGACGACGCCCGCGGCGGCGATCGCCGCGGCCGCGGCCGCGTCGTCGATGTCGCTGGAGAAGACCGCGCCGCCCATGTCGTCGAGGTCCATGAGCGTCTCGAACTCGAGGCCCACGGACGCCACGGAGTCCGTCCGGTGGCGCCGCGACGAGTCCGGCGTGCCCGGTAGCGACTCGAGATTCGAGATCTCGAGCTTCCCCGCGCGGATCAGCCGCTCCAGCGGCTCCGCGTCCTTGTTGCCCGACGCGACGAAGTGGTCCAGCGCCGCGTGGAGCTCGTCGTGGTCGCCGAGGATCAGTAAATCCTTGATCGCGTTCTTCTGCCGCGCGTCGATGATGCCCTTGGCTTCGAGCGCGGCGATGCACCGGAGGCGGCGCACGGCGTTGCGGCCGCCGCCCGCGGGCCGCCGCGGCGGCGGCCGCTCCTCGAGGGACCCGTCGCTGCGCGCGCTGTCGAGGCTCGCCGGCTGGGCCCGGAGCCGCATGGAGTTGAGCGACGACGAGAGCTCGTCCTCCGAGGGGGCCCGGTCTCTCTCGGACTTGACGCGGACGCGGCCGCCCCAGGTGTGGGCGCCGCCGTGGCGCTCGAGGGTGCCCGCGCGGGGGCCCTCGGCCCGCGACCGGCTCTTCTTCGTCGAGTGGGTCCGGTCCGCGGACGCGGGCGTGCCGTTCGGAGGCGTGTGCGAGAGGAACGCGAGCTCGCGGCCGTCGAGCGCCGGCGGCCTAAGGACGGGCGGTTCGGAGGGCGCGGGGGGGGGTAAAATGTCGCGGACCGCGCCGACGGCACGGGCGGGGGCGGCGGCGGTTTCGAACGGGGCGCCGGATACGCGCGGCTGCTCCCAGTCGACGACGCCCCGGTCGACGAGGCTTCCCGAGCGCACGAGCTCCGC